ATGGTCATTAGATCCTAAGTAAAGTAAAGCTCGAACTTCAACGAGATCGCTGTTTTACCGATAAAATGCGACACATCGACATCTTTATTTTATATACTACAATACTCAATATCAATATCGCACTTACACATACGTAAATTTTTTACTAACTAATCTTTCGTATTAAGTATCTAAACCTAATTCTACCCAGACAGCACAGAATATTTATTAATATTCATTTTTTGAAATGTTATATAGATATTTCATATATATTTTATATTTTATGTAAAGCTTTATTCGAAATATTATGAAAATTTAGACTAATTCTTTTATGTAATATTTATAATAAATATAAATAAATATTTCTAATAAATATTTTTTACTTGGATTATAATGAGCATTCTGTATTACAACCGCTCATTGAGCGCTCAGTGAGATCTTGCATCTAATTGGCACTTTCCAATAGATCCAAAAATATAAACCAAACAGGTACAAGAGCTCACTAAACTCAGTGAACGATTGTAATACTGAACGCATCAAATATTTTCATAGTATTTACAATAAATATTTCATAATATTTATAATAAATGTTTATGACTGTGTAATCTAAGACCACAAAAATATTTACAAAATATTTAAAATAAATCTTATAAATATTTATAAATATTTTGTAAATATTTTATAAATATCGTGTGCTGTCTAAGTAAGTATTCAACATTAATTGTTCATGTAATCTCTAGTTGGTCCAAACCAAAATTTTATATATATATATATATATATATACGAAGTATAAAACTCATATATAAAGCAAACATTATTACAAGTCGACGTTAAAAGTCAGTGACAAAACTGTTATTTACTTTTTTTCGTTTTTGGCATAAAGTCGACCAGTTTGGACTACATTATCGTTTATATTTTAATCATGGAAGATTTTTTAATCTGTAAAGACAGTTAGAAGAATACTTGTTTGGAAAAATTAACACAGATTCACTTTAGAATATCCTAAGCCCGGATCTATAATAGATTTTTAAGCCTTAAGTAATAAAGAATGGACGAATTACAGTCGATTATTCTTTTCATAGTCATAGAAATACAGTCGATTATTCTTCAACTGTAATTGGTCAGTTTCTTATGGCTTAAGATTTAAAACATCTATTGTAGATCCGGATTTAAGGGCTATTCTTTTTGTCTTTAACTTTTAATATCAGTTCATATTTTTTCCTTTTTTCTCCACAAAGAAAAACAAAGAAAAGAGATGTACCGTGTAAGAAGTTCAGCAGAATTCAATTAGAAAAAACAGGCTTTTAAAAAAAGCGGGAATAAGCCGAACAAGTAGCGAGGAACGTACCTGTTATGTTAGTCGAGGATTATCGTGAATGAAAAGATCATGAAAAGATCAGAAAAAAAGAAAATATAGCAAATACGCGATAAAGGGGAAAATGCATTCGTACGAACAGCGACGAACAATGAATTAATAAACGTTTAAGCCTGAATCGACGTTAATTCATTCTCTGCGATCAAAAAGGTATTCAGGGTACTCAGGATACTACTCTCAGTTTATGAAAGAATCTTCAAAACTATTGTAGAAAATCCCCTTATTCGAAGTATTACTTTGTTTAGTCTGTATTGTCTATAACTAAATCTTTTTGTATAGATGTCTTACATAAAGTTACAAAGCTCTGATGGCGAAATATTCGAGGTTGATTTAAAAATAGCAAAGCATTCGAATATGAAGACTATGTTGGAAGATTTCGATTTGAATGAAGTTGAGGAAAAGATTGTACCAAATATAAGACCGTTACCAAATATTAGGTGTTGGAATTAATTCGTAGCGTTTTACAAGTGATGGGAAGTACTTTCATTAATGTATTTTTTAATGCTCATGTGAAATAAATAACATTCTTTCATTAAAAAACGCTACGAATTAATTCCAACACCTAATATAAACTCTGCAACACTAGAGAAGATCATGTGCACTGTTGCTAATATGATCAAAAGCAAAACACCTGAAGAGATTCGCAAAACATTCAATATCGAGAACGACTTTACAGCTTCTGAAGAGGAACAAGTGCGCAAGGAAAATGGATGGTGCGAGAAAAAAATAAATAAAATTTTTTATGATCGCAAAAAATTTTTGAATGTTAAATAATTATTGCGTTACTAGATGTCGAACTTAACTGGAGCTTCATTACTTTAAAAAATTTTTATGTGAAAATTTTTATGAAAATGGACAAAATCCTAATTAACTAAAGTCAAAAATCAAACATTCCTTATGTATAATTATATTATGCATAATTTTGTATGAACACTTTTTTTATATTTTTTCAAATTTGATTTTTTCTAAAATAAATAGTGTGAAAATTAATCTTTTTATTATTTTTGATAATTATTTAAAATAACCCTCTCCCACCTCAAATCATATACATATTTCATATATGATTATGCATGTTTATGAATAAAACTTTATTACTTCAGCTTAAAATTGCCAAGAAGAGATTTGGTTTACAATAAATCTTTTAAATACATTTATCCTTCTACGCCGCAGATAAAAAAAAACCTAAATTATTTGATTCTATCTTTATTTCTTATGCATTACGCCGCAAATATCTTATGCATATTTATGAATATTTATGTATGTTTATACATATTTATATATATTCATGCATGAAAAATTTTTTTGTACTTTATGGGATATACTGTTTATACTTCGTTCTTAAAATTTAATAGAGTCCTTGAATTAACGATATCAGAGGACAACATACTTTGAATCTTATTTACAAGCTTCTAGCATATGACTTTAGACAACGCTAATGATTTTATAAAATATAATGTTATAAATTTATATTTAAGAACGTATTATATACAAGTGTGTTTAATAGTATTAAAAATAAACTTAAACGTAGTTATTTATACTTTTAATTATTTACTTTCTGTTACATCTTTCAAATTCTTAGAAAAACAAGATAATTATTAAATATAAATATTTAAATATAAAAACTAAATTTTTAAATATAAAAACTTAGCCAATATTAAATTTTGCTAGTCACGATTCTTTTCTTATAACTTTCGCATTTACATGCAATTTGTAAGATTACAAGTTGAGAACCCATGTCTCCTAACCTCAATGTCAAAACATAACCTATAATGGGCTCAATTTAAATAAATGTTTAATATTTCCTTATTTTAATCGTATTGTACGAAAAAAAATTTTTTACTAACATTAATTGTTAGAGGACATACATTTTTTAAATATAATGCTAATGGATATGTAAAATCTGTACTATGAGCCAAACAAGTGAGTATTGATATAAGCAACTATTTGTACGTAATAATTGTATAGATTTTTATTTGTGATATAAATCATTTGTTTCTAAATGAATACAAGTATTGTTTCTAAATGAATACGAGTATTGTATTTAAACGATGTAGTCACCGAGTTTCTCACGTTTTTTTCTTTTTTAGCTAATTGTATTGAAAGATTAAAGACACAAAATGATAGAAGTGGTCCACAAACTTTATACAATGAATGCAATTGGCTTCATCTTGACAAATCAGTTATAGAATATCACGATTTAGAAAACGTTAAGATTATAAGTTACAGAGAACTAAAAGCAGCAAAAGAACTAATTTCTAATCATTTAAAACATATAGTATGTTCCGAATTTATTGGTATCGACTTCGATATTTTGGAGTATTGTGTGCCTTCTTTAATGCTTGGGTAAAATATCATTATTTTTATCTGATATATTTAATTGGATAAGTCATTATTCTGGATATTTATGTTGAATTCATATTTTGACAGAATCCTTAATAGCGGACATGCTTTCTTCAATGTACCTACAGATCCATTGACATATACAGAGATATTTACTTCTTTAAATGTAAAATACATTTTTACAACATCTGTAACATCCAACAGAAACATTATACATCTCTTTAATATTCATGGACAGTCGATATATTTAATAAAATTAATAGATGTCCAAGAAAATTATAATAGAAGATGGTATCATTTTGCATATGCAATTGCCACTTCAGGATCGACTGGAACACCAAAAGTCGTCAAAGTACCCCATTCATGTATATTGCCTAATATTATGGATTTGAAGAAAATTCTGGATATAACAAGCTCCGATAAAATAGCACAACTAACAAATTTTACTTTTGATCCTAGTATCATTGAAATTTTCTTAAACCTTTGTTATGCTGCAACTCTATTTATGGTTTCGAAAACATTAAAGAATGAAACTGTCAGGTGAATATTTTTAAATATTAATAAATCCATGTTAATAAATAAATGCCAAAAAATAATAGAATTAACAATAAAAAATATAAATATGTTTTAGGCTCTTAGAAAAAATATTCCATGCTCGTGTAACAGTTCTTCAAATTACTCCATCACTTCTCTTCCATCAATGGTCTACTGAACGCTTGAAAACAACAATTTTGGACAAAGATTCTAAGCTAAGAATTCTTCTTTTGGGTGGAGAATCGTTCCCTAGCATGAAATTGCTTTCGGAAGCTAGTCATCCACAAAATACAACACGATTGTTTAATATTTATGGAATAACCGAAGTATCGTGTTGGTCTAGTATTAATGAAATTGTCAAAGACAATGTAGATGAGCCTTGCTTAGGTGAACCTTTATCAGAAACTATATTTCAAATCAGAAATGAAAATAATGAAATAGCAATTAGCGGCGATGGCACTCTTTATATTGGTTAGTTTTGAATATGTTTATAAATATGTGAAATATTTTTGTAAAACTTATTTTTATATAAACTATTATTTCACACGTTTTTCAATATAGGAAGTACCACTAGGATTTGTATTGTTGGAAATGAATCTGAAGATCTGAATAAACCAGTTTTTCGCAATACTGGTGACGTTGTTTCCGTAAGTTCTGTTTGTAAATTAATTATTTAGAGATTAATGGATCAATTCTAAGCAGAATCATAACATGAATAACGAAAATATGTTATGGTTTTGCTTAGAATTTAGGTATTAGTTTCATAATTTAATTTGTCCAAGACTGTTTTCAATAATAAAGATGAATCTATTCATATTTGTTATTTCTGGTTTTGTAGGTAGATGATCAACGTAGAATATTTTATAGAGGAAGACGAAATAATATTGTAAAAAGATTTGGAAACAAGGTGAACTTACGAGAGCTTGAGAGAGTTACGACGGAATTAAGTTTTGTACGAAATTGTGTTGCATTTTGGGACGCAGAGTGCCACAAATTATATCTATGTTTATCTATTACAGACACGAAAAAAGAATTTTCTGAATTGAGAGATGATATAATGTCGCATTTAAAGTTATTACCTGCGATCTATAAGCCTGATAAGATAATCATAGTAGAACGCTTTAACTTTACTACCAGTGGAAAGATTTGCCAGATATCATTGAGAGAAATATGTAGGAATTCCGAAATAGAAATTGATAGTGTAAATAACTTACACATTAATGAAATATTTGAAAACTTGTGGAATAATCACATAAAATTTAGAAACGCTGGTTTTTTAATGTCAGGAGGTACATCAATAGTAGCGCTTCAGATCTCAAGCGCTGTCACTCAAGCCTTTAATACAGAATTTCCTGAATTAATTGGAATGTTGTTGAAAGATTTTACATTCGACCAGTGCATCAGTTATATCAGGAGTATTTTAATTAGCCGAGATTGCGACAAAGCTATTACTGATCCCATCGATATATCTGTTAATGATAAGACATTTAATAAAGATACTAAGAAGATACTTAATACAGAAGAGTATGTAATAAAACAATCGCAAAAGAATTTTCCACTAGTATCAAATGAGAAGCATTCTTATCATTGGTACAAATGCAGGGGAAAAACTTATAACGATACATTAAAAAAAGAAGAAAATATCAAATCCTTTTTAGAAAATATATCAAACATTGAGATATTAAAAACTTACAATTTGCAGAAATGCGTCGATGCCTCACCAACTATATATCGTTATTCCGTGTAAGAATGATTTTAAAGAAAATTATTTTTTAATAAAATATATACAAAGATAATTCTTTATCAATACTTCAGGAAGTAAAATCCAAAATAATACTAATATAAAACTATCGTTAATTTTTAGAACAGAACTGTACGCAACAGTCGCTTCACATTCCGGCATTATATGTACTATTAATTTGCTAAAAACCGATGTGTCATATGAAATAAAACTACCAAACAGAATAGAAGCCTCTGTTTTAATTCTAGCTGATTTTCATGGAATTGTAGGTAAGCCCCGTATTGATATTACAATTTTTAACAATTAATATTTAACAAATTATATGTTTTTAATTGCAGGCTGTTACGATGGATACATTTATTGTATCCATTTAAAAACTGGTGATATAATATGGAAATTCCAAACACAGGACATGGTTAAATGCACGGCGATAATGTGTACGCAAGGGAGCAAGATATTTGTAGGGTCTTATGACTTTAATGTATATTGCCTCTCGACGGAGGTAGGCGACATTTTTAAATCAAGTATTATTATTACTACACCTCGATATCATTAATAATAAATTAATTAAAATTATACGATAAATAATGTGTGCTTTACTAAGTAAAATATAAAGTATCAAGAGACAAATCATTCACAGAATGGTATTCAAATTTGGAAAACTAAAGCGAGTCAAGGTGGAATTTGTGCTACCGGTTGTTTGCATCAACAATCGACTTCGGTTCTATTCGGATCATTAGATGGCTCATGCCTGGCTTTACATCAATCTTCAGGACGGATTATATGGAAACGTAAATTGCAGAATCCGATATTTGTTGCGCCTGTTGTGCTTCGAACTGGATACGCTTTATTTTGTTCTGTAGATGGAACCCTGTGTTGTTTCGACATCGAAACCGATTGCCAGGTAAATACATCTTCCTTTTGTTGCTCGACGTGTTCAATCGACTTTTATTGTTGTAGATGTGGCGATATGTGATATACGGTAATGTATTTTCGTACCCTGTGATATGGACTGCCGACTCTACGAGTGATGAGTACATCATATTAGCTAGTCATAATAAAAATCTATATTGTCTAGAAATGCCACAAAGAACAATTGAAGAAAATGAGCCAAAATTGAAATATACATTACAATTGCAATCACCGATTTTCGCGACTTCTTGGTGCGAAGATGGATATATGTTTGTAGCATGTACAGACGGCATCTTTAAAGTATTTGATCTTCTAGAAGGCAAATTGTTAGCGACCAAGCAACTTCCCGGCGAAACATTTTCTTCGCCAATTATTCATAACGATCTTGCAATCTTGGGATGTAGAGACAATCATTTATATGTTTTGAAACTTAGTTAAATATAATATATGGAAATGTGCATTGAATGTGACTATTCATATTAGATTCCTCGTATCCTTCGATGTTTAAAAAGAGATTAGTCGGAATTGCAAAGGTACACGGTTAATACAATATTGTTTATTCCATTCAGCTCTCGTGTTACAAATTGATGGATATCTGTTGCAGTTGAG